TAAAAACAAAGAGATGTAAAATTTTTTCTTCTTTCCTGATAATTTACAGTGCTAGAAGTTATTTCTTTTTTTTTAAAAAAAAATTGTAAAATCTTTTAATTTATCTCCTCTCTTTTCATCTTTATAATTTTCTTGCTTACTTGAAATATAAGTAAGATTTTTTTACAAAATTCTTTAATTTACTTCTTCACTTTTCTTTTCTCGTTTTTTGCTTTATGTATAAGTAAAAGGTTGAAAATGTTTTTTTTCAAGATGCAAAATAATGTTTGTAGGATTTTTTCAAATTCTGTTAAAAAAATACTCAAAAAAAGGAAATGAACAGAATTTCGTGTTACAATTTGTCTGAGAGAAAAAAAAAACTTTAACTGATTATTTATGATTGGTAAAATGATTAATAGCAAAAAAAGGAAAGTGGAAATGACATTCTGGAAATTTGATGAAATATCAATCAATAATATTGTAGAGTAAGTGATATAGATCAAGCCATTATTATTAGTTAACAGAAGGATATTAGCATAGCTCGTTTTTTTTTTAAACTCTACAATTATATACTAATAATTATATAGTGAAAATTATTAACCGAATATTTGTTGAAATAATTTTTACTCCATTTTTTTCCCTAAAAATTTCTTCGGCCTCATATATGTATTATGGAAATATCGTATGAAAAGTACAGCAAATGATGAGTAAATCGCAAAACCAAGTGCAAGATTATCCATTGATTGCTGACAAACCTATAAAATCTGACTTCAATCTTTTGAATTTAAAAATATTGAAGCTAACATCTGAAAAAAAAAACAAAGTTAACTTTCTAAAGTTTAAAAAAAAACAACCACTGAGGTATCTTTTTTTACTGTGATTCACTAGAATTTTTCACAACACTTTCATACAGTAATAATACAAATCATCATTGTGTTATTAGCCTCTCGAAAAAAAAAAAAATTTATAGATATCAATCAATAAATTATTACATCGAATCCATTTGTTAATTTGATCCTCATATCTCGAAATATTCATCGATTAATGTACGACAGTAATTTTCTACTTAAAAACTTTCAAATATAAATTTTTAATATCTTTTCACTCTTATCACTCACACATCTCATCACTTACGTATCGAGATATCCCAGTTAGCCTTTATGATAACAACACTTTTTTTCGGTTTTTATTTTTCATTATAGCTTCTTTGATTATTATTATTATTTTAATATGCTAATGAAAATTTATTTCTTTTTTTTTGCTCTAAAGATCTACAAAAACAAAAAAGAATATTGATATGATCAGATTATTTGGTCCTTTTATGAATTTAAAAGTATTGAATTAATCAAGCATAATTTTACTATTTTAATTTCTATATCCGATTCTGACATAATCTCTCAAATTAACGAATAGATTGAAGGAGTAAGATGAATTATTGGGATAATAGTAAAGTATGAAAAATGTTATAACTTACAGCATTTTTGAGTTTCTGTTTGAGTGCAATCATTGAAACGAAAATACCAGTGAGCATTTGTGATGTTTGTAGCACAGTAACAAACATGGAAAATAATTTCGGTAATCGAATACTCCATACTGCAATCGAATAATATGCGTACATTATAAAATGTACAAAATAATTCATCATAATAAACCAACGGCCTGCAGCTGTTAATTCAACTGCTGAAAATGAATTTATCATCATTTTCATATCTAATCATTATCAATAAATATCTTGCTCTATCTAATGGTAATAATAATGATAATAAGATTTTTTTAAAAAAAAAAGTGCTTAATATGAATAAAAAAAAATGTGCTCAAAAATAGATTGTTAATATTAGAGTACAAAGGAAAAAATTAATAAGTTCAAAAAAAGATTAGTATGGGATTAAAATACTATTTTAAATTACTTATTAATTGATATTTTAATTAAAGTTTAATTTCAAAAAAAAATGCAAAGAATTTAGAAAATTGAAAAAAAAAAAACAAGAAAGAAATTCTTACCAGCATTCCAACTATAGATAAGAACAACTGCATGATGATACCAATGTAAAAATATTATTGGCTTCTTACGCATTAACAAAAAAATGGTATCACCAAGTTCAACAACTTTTGATATTGCAAATATGAAAGCCCAAACAGCGGCTGGTTGAAAGGGTGAAATTGCATAACAAATTGAATGCACAAATGGACGTGTTGTTAGAGTACTGTAAAATTCTTCGCCAAATCTAAAAAAAAAAAAAAAA